TGAGAGATCCCACCTCAGAAAATAAGATGGATGGAACTCTGACCTCTACATACACACACACACACACACACACACACACACACACACACACACACACACACACACAGTAAAACTATTATAAGCAGAGCTAGGAAACTATGTTACTAGGAATAGCCTCAACTCCTAAATACTTATACAAGTGTCTTGTTACAAAGTTAGTAACGTAGATTTCAGGTGGGATTCACCAAGGAATGCTTACCCTTGGCAATCTGAAGCTCGAGAGAGAGGGACCCAGGCTGGGTCTTAGGAAGGGGTGGTGGGAGAGTCAGCACTTGCATGTTAATTGGGGATGTGTTGCTGAGAACAGAGTAGCTGCAGCTGACTCGGAGCCTGCAGGAAAAAGATTTTAGTAGCATGGGTGTGCTGGCCTCTCCTGCTAATTTGAACTCCAGAGGATCAAGTGGTAGGTGACTTTCAAGTTCATAACTAAATCAAAAGTGGTTTCTGCCCTTAGAACTATTTCTGTTGTTACTATTCCAATAGAACCAATGTATGAATTGGTGAGGAAAGAAACAAGTGTGCTAGCCAGGCATGGTGACACATGCCTTTAATCCCAGCACTTGGGAGGCAGAGGCAGGCAAATCTGAGTTTGAGGCCATCATGGTCTACAGAACCAGTTCCAGGATAGCCTCTAAAAGCTACAGAGAAACCTCAATGCCCATCTACCCCCACCCCCCCCCAAAAACAAGGGTATTGCATGAGATGGGTGACTAGTGCAAAGCAGGTAATTATTGAATGTCTTTACAGGTGAGCAGATATGAAAATAGTTGTCAAGAAAGCCAGATGGGAGGTGCTCCATGGAGACTCCATGCAAGGACAAGCCTAAGGTTGGAGAAGTTGAGAGCATCAAGTGTTCAGAGACGAGAACACAGGTGTTATCTCACAGGGCTCTCAAGCCTAACATAGTACTTTGTTTTAATCTACAGCAGTGAATCTCAAGTGTGAGACCTGGGGAGTCAGGACTGAAAGGAATTCTTTCAGCCGTAACCTAGACAAGGTAAAAAGGAGGGGGCCCGGGTGAGAAACATTACCTCCATGAGGTAGAAGGTCTATGAGGAGGAGATCAAGTTGGGAGCAGAGACCCAGTTATGGAGTAGTCTGCATGAGTGACAAGCCAAAGAAGCAGGCAGATTCACCTATTGCTGAGAAGTATTCTGTAGGCTCAGTTTACCCCCAGGAGTCGTGCCTTGTGAAGAAAAGGTCTACTGGCTATTCTGGTCAAAATCGACTCTACCTGAAGATGCTATCTCGGGTAATAGAGCCATTGCCCCAAGTTCTCACATCCTGAGTGGCCAATAGTTCATTTTCATACACGACCTGGTCTCCAATGACCTGTCCAATGGGTAAAGAGAAATTGTCACTTCAATCTGTTGCCCAGACCAAGTTCTTAGTCACATTCTATTTTGTATCCTATTCTGATTCCCTACAGATAGGCAGAGGGTCCTGTTGATGATTAACTTGGAAAGCATGTCTTAGGTTCAATGCAGAACCAAGAAATGAGGAGATGATTTCAGTACTGAGCTTAGGCAAATGGACCACCGTATCCAAGTCGGCATCCTCCTTACGGTTACCATAGATCCTGGAGTGAGAGATATCTCCTTATATTTATTCCCTACAGAATGGTGGAGGAAAGACTTGACCATAGGAGACGTGTCCATCCTCTAAGCAAGGCCATTTGCCCCAGAGACTGTTCTAGACACCAGGCAGTGGTCAGGACTGGTCTTCCCGACTATAATATCTTGTCTCCCAATCACTAGGGCACTGCTTCTACCCAGATTTCCCAGAGGCAGTTTTCTCACCCGCCTTGTGGTCCCACAGGAAGTAAATGGAAATTGGAACAGGGCAAAGGTGGGTGTTGCCATCACAGGGTCACATCCACTGTCACTCCTGACAACCAAGTGTAGTGAATCCAAGTTCAGAGGTGGTGAGGTCACATTCCTGGACACAGCAATGGAGAAGCTGCCCTCTCTGCTACACTGGGAGGTCACTGGAACACCAGAGATGGGTGAGGTCAGGGAACTCCTGAGATGGAACCAGGAGGACCTATGTTTAATATCTCAGTTGCTTCAGATGCCCTCACACTGATGACCTGGAAACAGGCTTCCAATGGCTATGTTCCCTAGGACCTTGCCTTAGGTTTCCTAGTTAAATGGTCAAGTGTCCCCAGGAGCAGGTGGCAGATTTGAGCAGGAAAGGGCTTCTCTGGCTGCTTCCTGGCTTGCGTTTTCCACCCTTTCCAAAAGGTGAAGAGGTTCCTGGTTCCATTCCAGGAAGAGTTAGTTCTCACTTAAATTCCAACTTTGCAAATCACAGGGGAAGCTGCATGGCGAAAAGCTCTTGATGGATGGCTCAATAGAACCTAGAGCCCTGAGGCAAGGCTGTTCTTTAGCTACACCTGCATTTGTAGGGCAGGTGTGTGAATGCCTTCCTTCATCTACTACTTACAGCTGGGCTCTGGGTGTTTAATGTGCTAGAAAACCTTCAATCTTGATATGGGGCCTGTGAATAATCACTTGGTGATTCTCTGAATACTTAGAGGTGATTCATTCTAAACAGTCAGACTACTAAGCCACCTAAATGGCTGCTCCTTGGGAAATAAGTTTATCAATTAGTAAGTACCTGTCACATGTAATTTCTTAATGCCCATGCAGGTTTACTTTGTGTTTGATATCTAGAATATTTGTGAAAGGATATTTATGAAAGGCTATAGGAAGTTCTAGTTCTAGCCGGGTGTTGGTGGCGCACGCCTTTAATCCCAGCACTCGGGAGGCAGAGGCAGGCGGATCTCTGAGTTCAAGGCCAGTCTGGTGGACAAGAGCTAGTTCCAGGACATCCTCCAAAGCCACAGAGAAACCCTGTCTTGAAAAACCAAAATAAATAAATAAATAAATAAATAAATAAATGAAAGTTCTAGTTCTAGGCAGAATTACCCATTCACTATCAAGCATTTGCTTTTTTACTTGCTGGCTGAATAAAGCTTTTCCTGCTCTGGTGTCACCAGAAATCACTAAGCCCCTTTTTCTCAACTGATTTGAGATGGAAGCAAGTACCTGTGTTTCCATAGTAACAGTAGCCCACCTCTTCCTCTTCAGCGATGTAGCAGCAACCCAGCTTGTCACAGTCTCCTTGAGAGATGGGCAAGGGAGCACAGAGAAGCCTTTCTTTTACTGGCACAGGATTGCACACTTCAGTACTCAGAGTGTTTGGGCCTGGATATAGAGAAGGGAAGGGGAATTCAAGCTAGACAGCAGCGTGGTCCAAGTAAACCATGGGCTTTCAACTCCAGAACATCCAGACCACCTCAATAGGCCTGTTGACTCTACTCACTATAGATTAAATGCCAAAGGAAAAACAATGTTGAGTCACCTTGTCAGTCTCCCAAAATGCGATCCCTACTGAGAAAAACATTCTCCCTATGTAGGAGCAGGGAGGCTCTTCACATGGTTTCCAGTGAGTACCTTTCTGGCTTTTTGGAGGGACCTATCAAGCTTCGCCATGGGTAATCCCACAGGAGCTTTTCAAGCCATAGGACTTCCAGCAGATTTGAGCCTGTGACTCATTTGGTATATATCACCAATCCCTATCTGGGTTACCAGATAGTGGCAAGAGAGAATGAAGTTTGAATCTGTCCTAATCACGATAAAGGGTTCTCAGACCACCAGGGAAGAATTGTCTCGTTTCTTAGTTAAAGGATCAAGTGGCCCCAGCTGCAGGTGGAAGACTGCAGCAGGAGAGAGCTTCTCTGACTATTTCCTATAGCTGGCTTGCGTTTACACCCCTTCCAAAAGGTGGGGAGGCTCCTGGTTCCAGCAAGAGTTAGTTCTCATTTAAATTCCAACTTTGCAAATCACAGCCAAAGCTATTTGGTGAGAGGCCCAGGAGAACCTGGAGCCCTGGGTCAGGAAATCAAGTGACACATCTAAACTAACCATGCCCAGCCTCAGCTGGAGTCTTCCTATAGTTACTTTTCTTAAGGGATGACATGGAGGGAAGAGTCGTTCTTAGGGTTAGTTGTTAATGCTACCTGGAGTACACAGGAGGAGCCAGCCCTAGAACACCCTTTAGGCAGGACCCTCCCCTAGCGCGAATGCGTTCTACACTTACCTTGACGATCCAAAGGGCATTTAAGCAGTCTCTTCCTTGCCCCTGGCATATGTTCAGTTACATTCACGTCTTGCACTCCAACTTCCATGACATAGTGGGAGCTCTGAAGAGACAGTAATAGTGATCAGTCTGGCTGGTGGTAAGAAGAACTCTGATAGCTGGGGTCTACTTACGCTCATAGTGACATAGCAGCCATTGTAGGTAGCTTCTAACACCAGAGAGTCACCAGGACTGTCCATCACCCACGTACCACAGTCAGAGTCATTCTTTAGCCTGTGTGGCAGCCCTCGGCTATCTAGGGCAGGTAGAACATGAGAAGCACCATGGTTAATCATCAGTGAACAACCAGCCACACCACTTGACCCTAACAGACTTCACCACTCTGAAAAACACAAGACGAGGTGGGTTTGGAAGTGGCACAGTTTTGACTGGGCATTCTGTAGGTAGGGGTTGTGGAGATTTTAAAAGAAGGAATGGGTCAAGGCAGGAAGTTTATGAGTAGATAACCTGGTTGAGTCTGACTTACCCCAAGCTGTTAACACAGGACTCTCTGCCTCCAGGCTGAGGTTCACAGTAAACTGGAAGCTCCCTAGCCCACAGTGGAGCACACCTGGCAGCTCAGTCACATGCTGCCCACTCAAAGGAGGACAGAATGGGAAACACAGGAAGATGCCTGGAAGGAGCCACAGAGTACTACTCAGAGTCCGGCTAGCCATTCTTCTCCTCCACTAGCCCACATCCACCAAGAGAGGAGAGCTCTTTATATGTGTCAGGAAAGTTTCGTTTGGCGCCAATATCTTTATAGCCTGCAGGTGGAGAGACTTTGAAAAGGATGATTTCTTCCTTCTGGGGGGCACGGTGTACAGATGCATCCCATTAAATATTTAATCTCCTGGGCTCCAGAGCTGGGCTGACATGTTCCCTTTGGCCAAAAGCAGGTTTCTCGGGTTAGCTGCATGCAGCACTTGTTCTGCTAGTTTGTCTTCAAAAGAAAGAGATGGAGCGCCTTCTAGAACGTGTCATATTCGAGTGGGGATCCTAGCTGCATTGGCTCCTGGTAAGTGATGAGTGATGGGAACTGGAAACTGAGAACTGGGTAGCTTATTGCCTCTTTGAATTTTGGGATTCCTACCTGGAAAACTGAGAATGATCGTCAGGGCAGTACAGTTCTTAAGGATGCCCTGGGACACTTAGGTCAAATATAGGGTACCATACTTGGTCAAGCAGGAAGAGTACAGACAATGTTCTTGAGCTGAGGTTAGCTTCTTTAAACACCCATCTTCTTTTCCCCTCTGGTTTTAACATTTAATTGGAAGTCATTCTACAGTTGGTTCTAAGTCCCAGGATCCTTTAACCCTGATTCCTGAGTTAAGCTGGTTTAGAACTTTGTCTTGTATTCAGAGATAATCCCATCATGGTTCTATAATCTATAATCTCAGCACTCTAGATGTGGAAACAGGGGAACAGGAAAATCCAAGGTCCTATTTGGGTACATATCAAATTGGCGTCTTGCATGGACTATACGAGATCCTGTCTCAAAGAAATGTCCAAGCGATGGAGGGAAAATTAGAGGATTATGTGAGCCAGTTTGTAACAAAAGAATATGACTCCATCTGCTTTCCTGTGTGGGAGGATTGTTCTGAGGGAAGACGGAAGTCCTTCTGTGAGTCTTGTCAACAAGTCAGAATGAGGGGGCATCCAGAGTCACATGGAGGTTATGAGTCCCATCACCAGGCTCTTGTTTCAACCCTCTATCTCTGCACATATTCACAGGATGTTCTGTGAGGAGCTGTTCTGTGGTGCAGCACTTGTTCCATTCTGGCTTTGTCTCTGCTGTCCTGCTTGATTTCATCCCTGCTGTGATGACTACCAGGGGTGCAAAGCCATCCTTCTCTGTCACAGGGCTAGGAGGCCAGCTAGTTAGCCTGACTTCTAGAGGGATGTTTGCATATATTAGTCTTAATCTCTATCTCTCTGTCTCTCTTTCACTGTCTATCTCTCAATAGAAAAAGATTATGAAAGAAAAGAGTAATTTCAATTGACAAAGAAAACGGGAACTAAAATTCAAGACTTTGTGGTGAGAATTTAATGATAGGGTGTATGGGACACATGCCTCCCCCATCCCTTATGCTCATCTACCCAAATGGGTGGGCATGTTGACTTTGCAGGTAACAGTAAATTCTGAGCACTATCAACCAATGGACTGTCTCCCAGCATTACTTTTATTGTCATACAAGCAGGCAATTATCACAGCCTCTAAATGGGACATTTAAAACGCTAACAGGAAGGGAAAGACCCTTAACCCTAGAGAGTTCAAGAAATTTACATTTGGCTCATAGACATGGTGGGCCTTTCCTGCCCACTTATTTCTGAAATTCCTCCTCCAGGCTCCTGTGCAGCACAGGGAAGGCAAAAACCATAAGACTGATTATTGGCCACTAGGTAGGCCTTTGATGGGCAAGGGTGACTATAACATCACCAAGCTATTGGTGTTGTTTTTGGTAGTAACAGTTGATTTTATATGTATTCTCCAAAGAATCAGGGACTCTATTTGTGTTCTTTAACATTTTCTCAAAATCAAATAGATGTCTCTCACTCTCTCCCTGCCATTGTAGTTTGAGAAAGACTGTCCATTTCTCTGAATACAAAGGCTATTTAATGTTGGAGGATGATATAGAGATCTCATGTTTAATATGTCTGATGCCAAGGTGTGTGTGTGTGTGTGAGAGAGAGGGGGCACCCCTGGGGGATTCAGAACAACAGTTAATTGACATGCAGTAGAGGATACTCAGGGTGTGAGCTCAAGGTGTCTGCAGGACCACAGTGAACTACTGAGGAGAGGCTGCTTCTGTGTCTTCCAGCTCTCTAGCTGCCCGTAGCCCTTGGCTTCCTTGCAGACATTGGCTCCCATCTCTTGTTTCAGATGCCATACTCCCTGTGTGTCTTCATACTGTCCCCCATCTGTGTTTGTCTCTAGGTCCAAATGGCCTTTTAATGGAAACTGTGGACATTGGTCATATTGGACTAAGATCTACTGTGATGATTTCAGTTTTTGTTAGAATATGTATAAAAACCCTATTTCCAAATAAGGAAGGCCACATTCTGAGTCTTTGTGCTCCAGGATTCAACATATCTTCATGGAGGGTGGCACAATTATATGTTATCAGGGTTGGGGGCTGAGAAAAAGGGAAAGTCAAATAATAATGAAAGTGTCATTTCTTTGTTGAAATTTCCACCTTGACTGCACCAAGGGGATTGTAATTTCTTTTCTTTTTGAGGGAGGGACCAGTTTTTTTTTTCAGTTTAAATTTAGATAAGAAACAAGGTTGCTTCACAAGTCAGTTCCAGGTCCTTCTCCCTTTCCCTCCCCTCCTCCCGTGCCCTCCCCCCAACCCCTCCATTATCTCCTCATTTCCCCAGGGAGGGTGAGGCCCTCCATGGGGGTGTCCATAGTCTGTCATTTCATCCAAGGCAGGGCCTAGATCCTTCCCCAAGAGTTCAGGGTGAGAGTGCACCTCACATTGTTGGATGGGCATCCAAAGTCCATGTGTATACTCAGGATGAGTACTGATCTGCTGCCCAAGGCTCAATAGATTACCTAGGCCTCCTCACTGATACCCACATTCAGGGGGTCTTGATCAGTCCCATGCTGGATTCCCAGGCTGATGCCTGGGATTCAAGAGTTAACCTTTGTCAGGTCCTAGATGTCCCTTAACCGAAGAGTGGATAGAGAAAATGTACATTTACACAATGGAATACTATTCAGCAGAAAAAAACAATGGAATCCTGAGATTCGCAGGCAAATGGATGACACTAGAAGAAACCATCCTGAGTGAGGTAACCCAGTCACAAAAAGAGAAACATGGCCTGTACTCTCTCATATATGGATTTTAGACATAGATCTGGGGAGTGCCAGCCTACAATCCCATGGCCAGAGAGTCTGGGAAACAGAACCTTTATTCAGTGGCTGATCGAAGAAGAGGCAGACTCCCTCGGTTAAGTACTGAGCTGAACTCAAGAAAGCCAGTAACAGAGAGGGAGGACTGATGACCAAAGGGATTAAGACTGGGCTGGATTAACCCCCAGAAACAGATGACCTGACAAAGGGAGGGACCAGTTTTACACCCAATGGACACTAAGTAGGTTGGGACTAAAGTTAGAGGTTAGTGAATTACGGATGGTTCAAGGATAGGGAATTTGGAGGAAAGGTGGTCAATTTTTTAAGTTTACAACCGCTGAATTTTCTCAGTTTTGCTCTGAGCTAGCTGGGCTTAGCCAGATGTTTCAAGACATCTGACATACCATGTATCTTATCCTGATCCAGCTTGTTTTCAGTATTCCCCTGTTTTAACCACGCTGTGGCCACTTGCCTTTGTGGCCTGCTGTCAGTGGCATCTTGGTGTCTCTGTTTGCCCAGTTGTTCTCCTCCCCTTGGGACTCAGGTTAAAGGGGACACTCCTGAGATCAAAGCACCAGGATCACCTGGGTGCTTGTTTGAAATGCAAAGTTTGGCCCTTACTTCAGGTGACTCAAATAGAAACTAATGTGGGGTTGGAGCCCGTGAGCTTCCAGGTGATCTGGATCCCATTCCTTCTGTGGAATGCAGAATGTGGCGAGGGTGGGCGGAGCTTTCCTGCAGGTCTCACCTGGGAGGCCTCTGCCCACTCCCCCACAGGAGGTGAATACTGCTGAGTCAGCTTTTCTCCTCAGCCTCCCTGTTCCACTTGGAACTCCATTTTCCCTTTGAGACTGAGAGTTTGAAGATGGTTCAACTTCCCCTTTGTATTTGCTCCTCACTAACCTCATATACTAAGGCAGTATTGGTTAAATAAGTAAACTGTTGTTTTTTAATTTTAGACTTTTAATCACTTAGAAGATTTCATAAACAAAACAAACAACCCAAGAACAAAACAGCACTCTGGGGTTGGGTGTGTAGCTCAGTTGATAGGTTGCCTGCTCAGCATCTTAAGAGACCTTTTGTTGATCTCCAGTACTATACATACTGGCTTTCTGGGTACACACTTGTCCCTCCACCACACCACGGGTGGAGGAAGGAGGATCAGTAGTTAATTTTCAGCTTAGGCTACATAGGGCGTTGGAGGCCAGCCTGGGCTATAAGAGATCCTATCTCAAAAACAAAAAGTAAACAAACGCACAAACAAAATCACCTTGTGCTCTGCTTTCACATTTGCCAAGGACAACCTGTTTCATCCTGGCATGGGCACCCTGAGCACACATGGAACCACACTAAGTCTTGTTCGTGTCGCTTTCCATTTGAAACTATCTCTTCAGAACTTCTGGTCTCGCTGTAGGAACCTGAGAAAGCTGGCCCAGGGCACATGGCCTGTGGTGTCTGGGTTCTGGTGCTTTCCTGACCTCAGAATGAGTGCAAACCGCTCATGCTATCACCCTCGACCAGGGCAGTCTAGCTTCATCTTTGTTTGTCACCATGGACACACCTGAGAGCCTGTGCCAGCGTGTCAATCAATGCTGGTCTACTCTGCGTGCCTGAGATTCAAATACTATATCTTTATTTCCTTTTAAACTCTATAAACACTTATTATATAAATGAGAATAAGTAAAACAAAAAAACCCTTTTACCACATTTGAATTTTTTCTGAATTTCTTCCATTCATCTTGTTATCAATTTAAAATTTGATTGAGCCTTTATAAACACAAAGATGTTTATCACTGCTGTTTATATCTGGAGTTGATTTGTTCTCAGATTCTGTCGTCTCTGTGATGGTCTATTTCCAAATCCTTCATTTTGTTTTGGTTCCTTTTTTTCTTCCTGAAAAATGCCGTTTAACAATATTTCAGTAAGACCTTTGGGCCCTAATTTTACCTGGCCATGAGAATGACTCAGTGTTGGCAAAGTATAAAGTGAGGGTGCCTCTAAATTCTGAAGAAGCATTCCTGATGTTAGTTTTCGGGTTCATCTGTGATTGGGGCAATTCCAGTTCAAATAGCCTTGCAAGGCCTTTCCGGTACCAGTCTTTCCTGCGAGCTCACTGGGGCCTCTTCTGGTTTCCTTTGAGTGGCAGCCCACACCTGCTT